TACAGGGGGTGCCACCCCTTCTGCCGTCATTCACTAAACACGCACATCACAAGGCTCCATTCCTCACAGCACAGTCCACTGAGGGCAAGAGGAGCGAACCGACCATTGTGGCCCTCAGTGGAATACTGCTAAGTGCTCATGGAAGTAGCAAAACAGCCAGTGGGTTCACTGCCATCAAGTTGATTCAGACTCACAGTGACCCTACAGCAGAGCAGAACTTCCCCACAGGGTTTTCAAGGCTGTAATCTTCATGGAAGCAAACTGCCACATCTCTCTCCAGCAGAGTGGCTGGTGGGTTCAAACTGCCCACCTTCTGGTTAGCAGCCCAATGCTTTAACCACAGCTCCACCAAAGGTCCTGCTGGGAAGCACAGAGGGAACCTAATCTAGCTGGGCAGATGAGGGGGCCAGGGAGGCAACCCAGAATAGGTCTTGCCTGTGCCTGACAACAGTATCCCGTTTCCACCAAGTCTCAACTCCCCCTTTGCCAGTCCTTCCCTTCCTTCCAGGCCAGTATAAATCCCACCTCCTGTCCTCACTGTCCTCTCTCCCTGTCCTCCCAAGATATGGTCCCACCAGCATCCTGTGAATGGTACACTTCCAGCTTACACAGGGCCACACATGCAGAGGCCCAGAGAAGCTGACCAGGAAACAAGACAAGTGCAAGACCAGAGGGCGTGCTGGGCTTCAGTGACCGGAAGGTACATACCTCTTCTGAAGGGCCAGCCCACCGGGGCTGCATCAGGACATGCACCCAGTGTTACTGGGCCATCGATAATTCAACAAAGTTGGATTTTATATATTGTGTATGACAGTGCTTTATACTACATATATACTGTAAATTGTTTAATATATTATAAAATACAACTGTGCATTATGTTATATGCATGATGTATATTATGCTTTTTCCACATAAAAATTGATTTAAAAAATCCAGATTTTTATAGGAAATCTTCACATTTAAAAAACTTTGGTTCAAATATTTCAGAAATACCTTGTAGGCCAGACCAAATACATCTGTCGGTCAAATTAAGCACAAAGACTGTAAGTTTACTACTTCCAGTCTATTTCATGCATGTTATTTGACACTTACCAGGTATTAGCTTAGCTTTCTTTTCATGTATGCGTCTTTTTGTTAATTACAAAGCTCCTTGGAGGTACAGCCCATATTTCACCTCGCTCATAAGAATGGGGCTCTGAAGTCCCTCTGGGCTGGTGGGGCGGGGACAAGTCACCCTCCACCAGGCACTTACTTCTGACTGGCCTCCATCTCCAACAAGGCGGACAGAGCTGAGGTTCCCTTCTTGCCAACCGGGGGAGCAGCAGCCTCGAGGGAGTGTGTGGAAATGGGCCCGGTTATCTGCAAGCTTTTCATGGTGGTCCCTTTCTAAAGCAGAGAGAGGAGACAGAGCCATCAGCCTGAGTGGGCTGTCCCAGTGCACGCCACTCTCATTTCTGTATCTGTTATGCGCCACATCCTGGGGATCCAACTCACAAAGCTGAGGAGCCCAGGTGCCTGGTTTTCAGCAAGTGACAGAAAACCTGAACTGAAGGTCCCCTTGGCTTGCTAGACTCAAAATAAACTGCCTCTTGGAGGCAGTTTTACAACATCATTTCATTGTACCTTCCCCACAGCTGTAAAAGGTAGGTAATGTTATATTTCAAAGAAGAAGAAAGAATCTGAGGGTCAGAGAAGTTAAGTAAAATCCCATATCCCACTGGAGATGAATGCAGACTTCAGTTACCTGACTTCAAAACCAAGGTTCTTTCCGTTACACAAGATCTCTCAGAAATGTTTCTACTCACAAGTGAGGCTGTGTACAAAAGGCAGCTGCCGTGGCAACCCTGAACCTGAAGTTATAAACAAAAATAACACCGCTGATGATGGACTTGTGCTCAGCAATGAAAAGGAATGAACTACTGAGGCATTTGTTTGTTTGCATATTCATTTGGAGAGGCCTGGTAGGCTCTGGATGTAGACTGGCTGTAATCTTCACGGAAGCTGCTCACTAGGCCTGGAGCTTCTACAGTGACACTGGATGGGTTCAAACAGTCAACCTTTGGCTTTTAGCCAAGTGAAGACTGTCTGCGCCACCCAGGGGCCTTCCAAGGAATGAACTCTGGATACACCAACTTGGATGAATCTCAAAGGCACTGTGCCACGTCAAAGGCGGCAGCCTCAAAAAGTTACATGCTGGATGATTCCATGTAGACGGAAAAGCCAATTTGGAGAAGACAAAAAGTCTAGTGATGTTGGATAACAGATCAGTGGCTGCCAGGGGTTTGGGCTGGGGTGAAGGCATGACTGACTACAAAGGGCAGCACGAGGGATGTGTTTTTGGAATGATGGAACTAGTCTATATTCTGATTATGGTGATGGTTACATGAATCTATACATTTGTTAAATGCCATGGACCTGAACACCAAAAAGGAAAGAGCCAATTTTATGCTCATTAAAACAAACAAAAAACATGGTTGAGTCCCATATCTGCCTCTTACTAGCTGAGTGTCCTTGGACAGGTCCCATAACCCCATGAGCCTCAGGCTTCTCACAGGGCAGTGTAAACCTCAGTTTCTTCATAGTTCCAGCAGAGCTGGAAATTCCAGAGGCTTTAAAAAACCAAACCCACTGCCATCAAATCAACTGTGACTCACAGCAACCCTACAGGACCATCTTATAGGGCTTCTAAGGCGGTAATTTTTCCTTTCTTTCCTTCTTTTTGTTTTTTAATTGTGATTTGGGTGAAAATTTACAGAGCAAATTCACTTTCCATACAGTAGTTCACATACACTGTCTCATGACATTGACCACAATTCACCACAATGCAACAGCTCCCCTCCCTCTTCCTCCCAACAGTCACCTCTTCCCTGTGTCCATCCCTCCATGCACCCTGCCCCCTCAGCTTTCTGAGCATAAACAGTCTAAGGCGGTAATTTTTACAGAAGCAGACTGCCACATCTTTCTTCCACGAATCTGCTAGTGGTTTTGAATCGCCAGCCTTTCAATTAGCAGCTGAGCACTTTACCCAATGCGCCACCAGGGCTCCCTAAAAGCTGTAAGAAGACGTGTTAATGTCATGAACAAGTCACCGCTCAGCAATTCAGTACCATATCACAAGTGCTTGTACTGACACCAGGCCCCATTTGGGAGCACACACAGGAACTGTGTCCTCAAGTACTGAGGGGCGTCGCAGTGCTACACAACACTGCCCAGCTGCTATCTCCACCCATCCGCCCTCCTCTTCCCTGAACTAGAGAATGCACTGATTGGATTTAAGGTAAGTGTTGGGCGATGTGGAGTCAACCGGCTACAGGGAGGCCCCTGAGATAGGAGGTGGTGGTCCTGCTTCCAGCCCAGGCAGGGTCCCCACGACACCCCAGGTCCCCTCACCCGCATCATGCGGTCTGAGCGGTGCCGCCTGCGGATCCGGTTCAAGCCCTCTACAAAGCGGATAAAGCCGTCCAGGAGCTGCCACTCCTCCTCATCTGCCCGCGGTCGCTCCCCGTAGATGTCGCAGTGGGCTTCCCCCTCCGTGATGCGCTTGGTGGCAGTGACACAGGCTGGTAGCAGCAGGAAGCGGGTCCTCCAGAACTTCAGAGACTCAATTAAGCTACGGAGGGTGAAAGGAAAGAAGGAGGGGTGGGTTGAGAAAAAGCAGATAATGAAAGCACCCTCAGTGGACATCGAGGTCAACTGGCCCAACAGACTATGAAAACAATGTCCCACATCCTACTTTGGTGAGTAGCAACTGGAGTCTTAAAAGCTTGTGAGCAATCATATAAGGTCCAGCTCTTTCCATCTGGATAAAGAAGAGTGAAGAAAATCAAAGATTCAAGGAAACAGTTAGTCCAAAGGCCTAAAGGACCACGCAGACCCCAGCTCCCACAACCCTGAGACCAAAAGAACCAGACAGTGCTCAGCTGGCTGCTCTGAAAGGGACTACAGCAGGAGGTGCTGGATAGAGTGGGAAAAAATGTGAACCAAAACTCAAAATAAGACCAGGCTTACTGGTCTGACAGACGAGTGGAACCTCTCAGACTATGGTCCATAGTCACCCTTCAAGCCTGAAATAGATGCTGTGACTCAACTTTTGGCCAAACAACAGACAGACCATTAACCCTAGGCAGGGATGCACTCCTTAGAACAATCAGCCATATGACAACAAGGGGCAGCACTGGCCCAGGGATAAAGGTTAAAGGCAGGAAGGGATGGGAAAGAAGGACAAAGGGAAGAACACAAGGAGAAAGCAGGAAGAGTGCTGTTACATTGTGGAGACTGCAATCAATGTCGCCAAACAAAATGTGTATGATTTGTTGAATGGAACACCAATTTGCTCTGTCAGCTTTCACCATAAAAGTTATTAAAAAAAAAAAGGGGGGGGGGAAGGAGGGAAGAGTGCAAAAATAAAAATAATAGTAATTAAAAAAAAGCACTCACAGTGAACATACCATCCTGACTGTCTCTCTGAAGACTGTGTTTCCAAATATTCCCAGGGTATGTGCTTAGCTGATGGCACATCTTACGGTTCACTTAAAACACAAGGTCACACAGTGGAATACTATGCTACATTAAAGAACAACGAAGGAGAGATCGATCCAACGGATCTACCGACTCAGGACCATAGTACTGGGGGACACCAGACTCAACTGGCACAACAAAATACATAAAAGTCTTGTTCCTCATCCTACATTGGTGAGTAGTGACTGAGATCTTAAAAGCTTTCAAGTGGCCATCTAAGATGCAGCTAATGGTCTCCTATTGTCAGAAGCTAAGAAGAGTGCAAAATAAAAAACCAAG